TTGATAGCCTCATGAGTACACCCAAAAACTGGCAATCATCTTCGATCACATTTATTAAGAGCCATAACGGCTCTTGATCACCGTAGATTAATTAGGCCTGGAAAAAAAATTCCGGCCGAATTTTTTTACCTTCGACGAGTTTACTTTACAAAATCTTGCCAACAAATCTGGGTGCGTCTAAACCAACCTTTTATATCATTTATACATTACATCTGAGGTGAAACAGTACTATGAGGCACTGTTTTTAGACCTTTTTATCAAACAGACCTCGGACAACAGAATGCAGTACGTATTTCACAGATTTGCGAAACAAATTGCTATATCATTCAATATTCAGGACGATCGAAGCACGCGTGGGCTTTAGCCGTAAACCGTTAGAAAAATTTTCAAAATCATTTATACAGCCAGCCGGTTCTGACTTTTGCAGTGCTAGCAGGGGCGAGTGTTTGAATGAACATTAACAGAGTTACGCTCCAGCATAATAAAGAGTTTATTATGTTTATTTTTTTATTTTAAAACGGTTTAACGCGCGGTATTTTGAGTACTCCGGGAAGCGTTGTCCACTGAACGACTGAAAACAATCGGCACAGCGATTAAAATTATAAGAGAGAGTACTAACAATCAATAAAAGAAATATAATTCGGTGAAACATATACAGAGACGACAATTTTCATTGAGGAAGACAAGTATTAAAGTGTCTCTAAAAATCCTGAGTCTTCGAGCTTAAAGCTGAAGTTTATGTTTTAAGCCGGCTTCCCGGTGTTTGCGTTTTTCAAAGACGAACTCGAGGCAAGAAAATCGCTCAAACCTTTATTTTGCAGCCAGAATTATAACTAAATATTCTTTGAAACGTTTTCTTTCTATTTGCGGTGAGAAACTGTCTAAAGGCTTTTTAAAGATCTTATAACAAACCTGATACTCGGTCAGATCATAGTCTCAAATCTTACAAACGTGCGTAAACAAAATAGCCGCATAAACTACGCTCGACTTCATTAAATTAGGAATCAAAAACAAACATCAAATACAATAATTACTTAGGCTTACCACTCGAGATGCAGCTCCGGAAAGGAATCAAGTAAGGCCGGTATCGCTTCAGACTTTGCAACCTTCTTACCCATTAAGCAAGGTGAAAACGAAAACGATGCCGTCCGAAATCGGATTTCCGACTTAGACTCAACCAAAAACCCAATAAACAAACTAGCCATGAATAGCAGCTGAATTTCATTTTGTACATCCAGTGGAAAAAGACAGTTAAAAACATCACAAGTTGACACAAAACTATGTCAGCTTCAGCTGTCAAAGTAAACAAGATTCAAGATGCTGCATAAATTTTCCGCATGAACTCACCTGTCAAATTTCAACCAATCAGAGCATAAAAATTGGACGTAGAGCGTGACCAACGCGTGAACATGGCGACTGAGAAAAGTCAAAAGCAACTGTCTTCCCTGCCTGTAGCAGTTGGCTGAATTTCCGCGTCCGAGGTCAGTTTGAAAACAGAATTTTAATTGTGCGGCACATAAACACAACATATTTCATATGAATTTTAAAAAAAATAAACTTGAGCCTGCGATCATTTGAAAACCAGTACCTTGTCAGCGGATAACTTCAAAAAAATACTTGACCTCGATGGGTCGACACCTAAGCCCGCGATACAGTCAAGTAATACTGGTCAGCGGATACCTTGTCTTGACAGCTGTCAATTGATCACAACATTGATGTCCAATATGTGTATCAGTTTTCCTGTGCTCCGATCCCAAACTAGCTAGAAAGTATGAGACTGGTCAGCGGACAGCTTCCAAATAAATCACGTCACCTCAATGAGTTGACACATGAGCCCGCGATATGGTCATGGGATACTGTTCAGTGGCTGTGCTGTTCTGACAGCTGTCAATTGACCTTATTGTGATTGTCCAATGTAAAAGATGTGGACTTGACAGACGAGCCTGAGACACCCCTCCCTTCCTTTTGATAGTCTCCCCTACCCCACCCGTACAATCTGTAGACGCGTACGTACGCTCGGTCAGTCACGTGACAACCAAACGAAAAGAGGTTGACCAGAATCTATGAGTATGGGGCCTGTTTCACGCGCGCTTCGCGCACGTGGGAGCCCCGCTAAAAACAGAGCTCCTGGTGCGGTATCAGCTCGAAGGCAACAACATTGATGTCAGATATTGAAAAACATGAACTATCTAGGTGGAGGCGTTATAGTCAATTTTATCCACCTTTTAGAATGAATAAATCTTCACGTGCACGGCAAAAGTAGGACTGTTTTTGGTGATCGTGTGCTATTGTGCGAACAATAGTGACTAATAATCTCATGCACTGAAAGCCTATTTACGTGACAAAATTATGCATAAGACGAGGTACAAAATGCATGGTTGACATGGTTGCAAGAACAGTTTTGCATTTTGCCATAGCTCAAACTCATGTTTGCTTTTCTTTGCGGAGAATACATCTTTTTTGCTGGTTGCAGATTCACTATGATTTTTCCTCGATACTATGACTCCTTGTTCACGCAGTACAATGGGATAGGTGACGCCTTCTTAAATAATACGCGTAAATTTCTATATTTGAATCAATGATGAAATCTTCAGATAAATCCATGTTGTGCAATTGTAGTTCCTACCTTAATTCAAATGTATGTAACAGTCCTTCTGCACACAGTTGAAGAGCTATGGAAACTTGAGGGTTTCCGAGTGCAGCTTGATGTAAACTAAGCAGATAGCAGAAGCTTGCAGACGCGACATGTGCTTTAAAGAACGCGCCAGCCTCGTTACCATGAGACAGTATTTAATAACTTTTTTTTCTTTGTTTGCACCTTTTCACGTAATACCCTAGAGAGATTTCTTTCACATTTCACTTTAATTCTTTATTCATGTGTGTATCGCATTTGCTGGAGGGTTGCAACCTTGTTACCAGGGTTCCTTCGCTCACGTGTGGTGCAGACTCGGTGGGAGTTCGTTAGACTTAACCGGAATTCATAACAGAATGTATGAAAATAAACAAAATACGTCCTAAATCCCATTTTTTGACAAAAATAGAAATAACAATGACTCACCTTGTGTTTTTGTTTTGTTATTTAGTGTCTTATTGTTTCTAGAGTCATTTGGAAGCGTTTTATCAACGTTTAAGATTTTGAGTGCAGTTGTACTAACACTAAGTAATAGGGGAAGGCAGGCGAGTCTGAAGCCGACCGCCCCAGCTCGAAGCTCATACATCCCATAAAAATGACTTTAACCCCCTGCCAAATTTTTTTTTTTTTTTTGTTTTTCCCTTCTATGTTTCTGAAGTCTCAGGTTCCATCACAAACGCTAGCGAAGCGCTTGATTTTAAACTTTGTCCATCAGAGTTTTTCATAATTTCTTTCTCGCGATGCGTATGACCGGACAACTGGACCAGTACGTAGTCAACGGTCGCTCAGCGACAATTTGCCTCCGTCCGGGAGCGGGCACGGTGTAAAAAGGGTCAGACTGCTTTTTGTTAAACAATGTAATCTGTGATCCGGCGTCCTTGAGTTCTTAGCCCCGGGACATACACGCAAAGTCATACCCCCCGGAGGTTTGTGACGTCACCATCACCAATCATGGTCGCCATCTTGGCCGCCATTTTCCATTTTTTCAAGAATTAGAAATCAAGAAAAAACAAGCATTGCTTTTATTCCTGAAAGATGTTGAATAAACATGCATTTTCACTAAAAAATGGCTTGACCATTTTGACGCCATATTTGGTAATCATATAGTAACTAACCATCACTAAACTTGTCTCAAAATGTGCACGAGGGATAAACGAACAGCTACAGAAAACTTCAGGTGCTGATATTTTATCGTTTAGGAAAATCCAGTGGGGATAGTCTCACCCCTTTTACCTTATCGCACCTAAGAAAATAAATATTTTTTTTATACCTAGTTCTTAACACAGAAGCAAACAAAGTAAAAAATGTATGTAAGATCTTTATTCGTCCCTTAATAATTTTACATGAATGCCCCGACAGTGAACTTCATGAATTTCTCTACAAACCCTACCAGGATTACCTATAGCTATAGATACTCTCTTAAATATATTTTTTGGTACTTTTAACTAATTACTTTCCTCTACTTGCTGTGAACGAAAAGTAAGGAAACAAATCGCTATCCCAAGCATTTTATCAAGAGTGTAGCTGCAAGAAGTATTTACTCGATTTAACGCCGTGACTTTTAATGAGTTTTTAGAAGTTCTGATAAGACGTTTATCCAACAATAGCGTTTTATTTCAAAATCACAATTAAAGTGATGTACTTGTGGCATTATGAAAAACAGAAAGATTTTTGAAGTTCCTAAGTCTCGCTTTTTAAAAGTTGAGATAGAATCGCAGTTGTCTGGATGGTGTATAGATATGTTACAGTATTAATTAAGTAGATTACCGAGTTATACGGAATTCTTTCTTATAATCCTCGAACAAACGCCTTAATTTTTCTTCCATCTGCGGCGTTTAATCGAGAAGATTCTATACATCAAACGACAAAAACAACGGGCTAAACAGGTTTCAAAAGTCCCGATTGCAATCCGTTTCAATTTAAACTTTTCTTCACTCTTGCCCCTCAGTGCCATTTTGCACTCGCGCCGCTCGCACCAGGCTTCGACAGATTCATAAATAATCATGACATTTACATGTGTATTGTGTGTATTCACTCTTGGCGCTTTCTAAAACGGCAGAAATTAAAGAAAAGCGAGGCATTTTTTTCCACGATTGTTTCATTGCGATACAGTCGTTGAAGAATCACTTTCTGAAAACAGCTCAGTGTCCAAGTTCACTGTCTTAAATTCTTGTTACAATTACTATGAGAAAATAGAACTAAAACTAGTGTGACAGAATTTTAAAACCTTAGCTTCAAAATAAGTTGACAATATTTCAATTCGCTAACTTAAATTTAGGTCAATTAAATGTCTTGCTAAATTATCTGAACTAAACATATTTTTTCTGACAGTGACCGAGATGAGATTGGAAAAAGTTCGTGTAGATGGAGCAAACCAAATCTTTCTCCTTACTCTCACATTACTCTCAACTTCTTTGCCGTTAATTCCAAGAAAATTTATGTCAAATTCCCTTTTCTCCAAGGGTTCCTGGATTTCTCCGTTTACAATCATAGGCTCATCAGGAATGCTGGGAATTTTCACTTCAATTCCGTGTTTGAGTAAAAGGTCATCATCTTCTTCAAATCCTACATTGTCTGGAACGCCATCAAGCTCTACAATCTTTAGTAGAACGAGAAAAAAAGGGAAAAAACAAGGGAATGAGATTTGTTAATCAGCCCTAATAATAATAATAACAATAACGATAATAATAATAATAATAATAATAATAATAATAATAATAATAATAATAATAATAATAACAATGTTATTGTTATTATTATTGTTACTATTTTATTCAGCGATGATGATGATGATGATGATACTGAAAATGAGAATGAGAATGAGAATAACTCAAGTTAACTTATAGAGCATGGGTCTCCACTTATTCAGTTAAAAATTGGTGGTGGGGGGGGTCGGGTAGTCTTTCTTTCAAAGCTTTTGTGGTAGCAGCTCGAAACTTGGTCAGACAAGCACACTTTTATTTTTTGCCAGTTTGGTTATGGGCATACTTTTTCTTGTGTCCTTAACCTTTTATAATTGATTGCATAATTTTAGGGCCTTCAGGTATATTATTTAACATATTGTAAAGGAAAAGTGTGATTAAAGGAACCACTTGAAATGGGGGAACTGAGCACTAGTCAGAAAAGCCGTTTATCTACAAAAGTAATTACATATAATAATAATAATTTAATTCTTATATTGCGCGCTTTCCATGAAATGATCAAGCGCCCATTAGATAATTTCTATCTATAATAACTTAATAAAGGGTATCTAACTACTAATTATTTAAAATATACTATGATAAAATTAAAATATACAATATATGTTAAAACACTAGTAATTATCATAATAAAAATTAAAAATTAATAAATTAATAAAAAGCTTCCCTAAAGAGGTGCGTTTTCAGACGGCGCTTAAATAACCCTAGATCTGTAATAGAACGAATCTCACGCGGTAATACATTCCAAAGTGCCGGAGCTGCGACCTAGAATGATCTGTCTCCTAATATAACCCTGCTTCTATATTCAAATGTTGCCAAGCGCAATTTGGTAGTCCTTTATGTTGTAAGTTGTCTTGTAGCAATTAAGTTGGATAACTTCGAATCTAAACGGGCTGCCATTTTTGCTTAAAGATTTTTTGGGAGTCCGTGGTCATAAGAGGTCATGTGACGTAATTTACATAATGTTCATGTGATGAAAAGTGTAATTTTTCGAGAAATCTCATGTCTTACACAATTCACAGCTTCATTACGAACGAACTCCTCAGTTTTCAGCGAAAATGGCTTTTGATCCATGCATCTTTTTACTTGAGAATAAAAACGGTAATGGAAATATGGCTTATGAATTGACAGGGAGTTATATTTATTGCCTGGAAGGATTCGGAGCTTTTGGTATCTGATCTGACGTAAAGTAAAAAAAAAAAACGGTGAAGAATTTTGTTTGTTAAAATGCTTGTTATGTGAAATTCGGTCTTAGAATGAGAATCATATCGATGATGATAAAAATGATGTTGCTGACGATGATAGTGATAATGATGCTGATCATGATGATGATGATGATGATGATGATGATGATGATGATGATGATGATGATGATGATGATGATGATGATGATAGTATACTGGATCAACAGAGCGCTGTTACCTGATAGAAGTCGGAACTCTTGGCAGGGATGTGAAACAAAAACAGGTTTTTCATGTCACCGTACATGAAGTAGTCACTTTGCTCAAGAGATTCATGGTTGTCAAAATGTTCGTAACGTGGAACATCTATGATCTTCATTTTTGGACTCATAAACGGATGGTTACTGTTATCAGAAGGCAACCCAATGAAACAGTCGAACTCCTCCAATTCACCAGAGTACCCTGTATCCTTGAAGAAGACATCATGGAGTCTTTGCCGTTTGCTTCGGAAGACAATTGGTTTTCGGGCACCATTTTCCTTTAACAACTTCTTTTCTGTAGTGATGTACTTCTCGGCGTCCCTGTCGTGCATGAATTTTAACTTGACAATTGCTTCGTACTGCTTCTGCACTCTGTTAAAATCTCCAACATAACAGGCGATTACTTCGTTCTGTTCATTGACAACTCCCGTACTGACAAAGTTGTGGAGGGCAGTAGGATCAGTAACCTTGAATATAAAGCAGAGATGACAATAGCAGTGTTGATCATAAATAATTGATGTGTTAAGGGCATTCCACCTTTTAAAATCAAAGGTGTTTTGAAAAGTAAATTAGCCCTTACCCTTCCAATTGCGCACAAAATAGTGTTCCTCATGACAGATGACACGTGGTCCATGAAATCTAAAGATGTGACCCAGGGATCCATGCAAGTTGTTATGATATATTTGACTGGTGTGTCGTTGTTTGAGTTCAGCTGAATAGAAAAAAGAAAGAAAGAAAGATGTGTAGATTAGTGCATATTGCAGTTTAGACACGCGTAATTCTGCCTCACTTTTCATGGCTGTGGTCAAGAAAAACCATCAATAATTTTCAGTTATTTATATGGTCCTACATATATCACGTGATCTTTTAAAATATAAATCGAATTTCCAAAAAGGAAAGGGCATCGAGAAGGTTTCTCGTTATACCAGATTTCGATTCTTGTTGTTCTCTCTTACCCCTAATCTTGTCTTGAAATTTGTGGCTGCAACACTGTGGACGTGGGACACCATACTTGATGAGGTAACAAGCATTGGGATGCGAAACGCTGTATGTTCCCCTGATGTGTGAGTGAGCCTTTCGAATATCGCTGTGTTGATTGCATTGCACACTTCAACGCTTTGGTTTCCTTTCAGGTTTACAGCGAAACACGGTATCAAGGTATCAGGGCCCACTTCTTTTAGGTAAAGCATAGCTTTATCATCCTAAACGACAGACAAGATAAAACAGTACTTAACTTTGCTGCTGTTCGTTTTATCAAAGAGTTGCTTCGCTGTCAATGATAAAGTGAAAAAAAATTGTCACCGCAAGCAAATTCAAAAGGTGACGTCAGGTAGAGTGCTATTGTTCCCTTTATAACAAAGGGCTTTAATAGTACCCGGAACGTCTGCTTTGATGAAACTTTCATTAGACCATTTTAGCTTGTAAGTTTTGTTTTCCCTATTCAGACCACGTGATGATGTTCGCCTGGGGATTTTCCTTTTTGTCTTTTCATACAATATGCATACATATGCACGTGGATGCACGTGCATCGGGCGACGTTTGAAAGAAACAGTTCTCTCAGGTACGATCACGTGGTCTGATTGGAAAACAAAACATACAAGCTAAAAACGGTCTATTAATCAATGATCGTTTGGTCCTAAATTTCTCAAATCCGATTAGCTGGCAAAAGCCTGGTCGCACCTACACCTGTAACTGGTAATCAGTTAAGGTTGTGAAAGGCACTCAGAAAGAGTTTCTTGCCTATTCCCTACATGTATTTTGTCGTATGTTTTCTTAGAATAGGAATTAGTTGTCGGGAGTCATTCAACAGCAGAGTTATGTATAAAAGTTATTAACAGTAATTAGACTGACGTTATTGGGCTGTACAAAACCTCCTACTCTTTAATTACTTTTGACTAATAACTCTGACTTGTAAAATATCACTTATGCAACGCCTGCGAGTGGTATATCGTGAAATATCCCACTAGTGACTTGATTTCAGATAAACAAGCTAAAAGATTTACCCGAGCAATTTCTTCGTTGCTTTTTCCGAGAATTCGTTCTCTGATGAAGGTAATATGATCCTCCTCTGACCAGTTAGTCAAACTGGGTAGAGGAATCGTCGTTTTGATGACAAAAATGTCGTCTTCTTTGGCCAGCGTTGCCCACTGACAGTACAGAATCTTTGCGTTGAACATGCACTCAGCCAGGATACGACCATAACCGTGTTTGTGAAGACCAATGACCTACGAAAGGAGGAAACCGATATTGAAGAACACTAAGTAAGCTTTATTTATCCTATAAGCAACTGGCAAGAACAATAGTTGACTAATCCCTCTTTTAAACATAAATTCTGTAGTAAAAAAATTACGCTTTAATGGACTTTGATAAATTTTCGAATTGTTTACTGTTTCCATTTCCAGCGAAACAAGCAGACCTGAGGGTTAGAAAAAGGCTTCGCCACACATATTGAGGTTTTCGCATCCATATTGACAAATTTCGAGCTTACTTAGAATACGCGTATCTGTGCATTTCTGAAACCGAAAACCTTTGCTTCTTTCACCCTACGCATAGAATAACAACTGTGATATAAGCATCAAGCTCACTTGTTTCCAGAAGAGATTGATTCAAATTCTACGGTTATTTTTTTATGATGATATCACACATGAGCCAGAAAAATAACTTGGTGTTTTGTCGAAAAATAGTCGTAATAATTGGGCTGTCTTATATAGACTATTTTTTAATACATTACTAAAAGAAAAAGATTCATAAATGGTTACCCTGTTTGCCATCATGACCCCTACAGCAGCTGCCCCAGGTTTGGATCCTTCGATACCAACATTATTAAGAAGCATGTTCCCATGCAAAAAGAGCGCCTTACTGGTGATTGACAGAAATGAATTCATCTTTCTGTCTCTATAACAGATTGCACCACCAGGATAAGGACAGAAGCCAGATTTGTGGGGATCAACAGTGATTGTATCACAATGGTGGAGAGCTGATAACTGTTCGTGGACGTAGGAACTCAGGTACATTTCTGGAACAAATCCTGTTTGTTTGGTTGTCGGCATAGGACTGCTCTCCGGCTGCGCGCGCAGCATACTACAGAAATATCCTCCCCAGGCTGCATCCGCGTGAATGCTGAAGTTCAGACCCTTCATATAAATAAAGACATGGGTTTTTAAAATAGACAATTCTTCAAAGTAATACCTAATTTATGGCATAAATATTTTAGGAAAGTGGTGCCAGGTAAAAAGGATCTATATAATTAATACATCGCCGAAAACGATTGATGATCTTAGTGATCACGATGAAGAAAGAAATGATGATTATCATGATGATGATGATGATGATGAGTATAATGGTTTTGACAGTGTAAGAAATTTCAGATATGAAGTCAGATATAGTTCAAGTTATCCTTACCTTCATTCTAAACTTTTCGCGCGAATAGACAACTGCAGTCACTGGATCAACGGCGCCTTGCTCTGTTGTTCCTGTGACAGCTACTACCGTTATGACTGGAATTTCCTTATCCAATTTTTCTTGTAGAATGCGGTTCAAATCTAAAATTCCATAAAAGTAAATATTATCTTTTAATGAAAAACAACTGTGATGATCGATTACAAGTATAAGTATAAGTTATAAGTAAATGTAATTCACTTCCATATATAACTCACAAGTTGGTTAATACGCATTTTGTTAATGTTAACTAAATACACCCTACAGTTATTTGTTCTGTTTCCGTTTTCTGGTTTTTGTTTTTGATTGTTGAAAAAAAAAAAAAAAAGAAAAGAAAAACAAAATTGGTGTGTGTGTGTGTGTGGGGGGGGGGTCTAAATGAAGACAGACAGAAACTGTTACAAACCAATAGGATCCATCCGCGAGTTTTCGTCAACTGCTACAGAAACAAGGCTCTCTCGACCAAGTCCAAGGATTGTGGCTGCTTTCGTCAAGGAAATGTGTAATGTGCTTGGAACAACAATGCATGGACTTTGTGTTAGCATATGTCGCCTTACAAACTCCTGCGTTCCAATGGACTCATAAAGGTACTTCGACATTATTTCCATAAATTCATGATGTTCGAGGCTTGCCAAAGCTTGTACATCTGAAGGCATTTGTAAGATAGTGTCGACATCAAGGTTAAGGAGTTCCCACTGTGAAGCGCTGATTAATTCTTCTTCTTTTCCTCTTTGAGGCAATAAAACCTGACCGGAGAAAAATAAAGTTAGAAAAATATATGGATCCGTCACTAAACACTCACTGACTGTCCACGAACCGGGACATGGTTAATTCTCTTAGCTTCTCTTTGCCAGGAATAATAATTATAATATTATAACAAAAAAATCTCAATGTTTCTCTGGCTGAAGCGAGACAAACTTTGAGAGTCGAGGGAATCTAGACAAGATTTTTTAAGCCGCAGAAAAAAACTTGTCGGGATCATGCTGTTTTTTAAAAAAGTATAATCATTTGTCGAAATCTTTATCTCAACAATTTAATATTCTCAATATTTAACAGATGAATAAATTTGTCGTTGAATGTCTAAAATATCAGTCCTCACAAAATCAACTTCCTGGAGCGCTAACCAATTTTTAATTTTAAGAAAAATAATGAAATCCATGATCATAACACTCGTTTATACAAACGTCTACATAAGCCCTTGGGTAAAACAAATGTACGATAATTTACTGTTGCAAACAAAAGGTTAGATATAATTTATAATAGCTTGACGGATGACATAAGAGATGGTCGGTCAAGTTATTCTTTTAAACTTTTTGAGAATATTCATCTGATGAGTGAAGAGGTAGAATGAAACAGTGATGCCACATTTGTAATATTTTATTTATATATTCGATGTAAGCACATATATAGTATTGATGATGTAAAACCTTATTTACTAGCCAAAATCGTCTATGTCATCATAATCAAATGAAATTGATGAAAACTGACAGGGAGTCTCCTCGATAAGACCAGAAAGGTTTCTGAGACCTCCTGTTCAATATTGTAATTATTTCTTAAGCACTATCAAAATATTGTAACCTTACATACAATGTTGAGCAAATCAATAATAATAAAAAAAATCAAACAAAAAAATATGAATGGTTTCCAGTGAAAAGAACCTAAGTTATACAGTGTAAGTGGTTGTGATTTAAACGATGCAATGTCTTTACACCATGTGTACTCAATCCAGTTAATTTCATCGCAGATGTTTACTTGGCATATGAGGAGTTATTTAAAGCATTAATTTTCTTCTACTCTGGTCCTTGTGCCTTCTTAGCACTCTCCACGGTATTACTAAGTAATGTTCATTTGCCACGGCTGGCCAAACCGAAAATGGTATTTTCTTATATACTCTACCAAAGCTATCCGTCCACATTATGCCTAAACAATGCAAAAGGTAAAGTGCATGGATAAATAAACCAGAACGTAAGTAAAACAGGGAAACGTACCTTGTAACTTTTGGCACCAGAAAGTCTTTTGTCCTTCAACAAAGCTTCTTGTAGTCCCAGTGGAAAGTACTTCACATTTCTTCCCGCCCAAATTGCTTCAATGTTGGCTACAGACCCCCCAGCGGTGAGATGTCCCATACATCTGTCCCTGTCATACCCCACCATGACACACAGGTCTTTGCCCACCTCCATTTCGTATTTACTTGTGACAGGAGAGGATTCTGATGCGCAGTTGTTTTGGTTGTACAACATTGCAGACATGTAGCCAAGGTTAGCTGGCATCGCTGTCTCCCATTGAACGTGGCCCTTAGGAAAAGAAATATGGGTTGTTAGTTAGTATAATATAATCATAAACAAAGGCGTAGATGTAAAAGCTATATATCCTTTTAATATGAGGGCCAAAAGTTTAGAAGGGTCAATAGTTTGTTTGCCTTAGCCTATGGCTATTAAATGCTACAGTTATTATTATTGTTATTATTATTATTATTATTATTATTATTATTATTATTATTATTATTAGTAGTAGTAGTAGTAGTAGTAGTAGTAGTAGTAGTAGTAGTAGTAGTAGTAGTAGTAGTAGTAGTAGTAGTAGTATATGTATATATATTAAAACGCTGGACCGCCTGCAAGAGTTGTTGATCGCATCTGAGCGGCCAGGAATGTATTTGTTAATCATTATTGACACTTTGATTGTATTTTTATGATTTTTATAATTCTTAATGTTATATGCTGCTTAATTCTTACTTCAAACATTTCTGTAAATTATGCACATATTTTTAAAGTTGAATAAAACATTATTAGTAGTAGCACTAGTTTTTTTTAGTAGTGAAAAAATTTTTTTGACAACAATGCTGACTATATTAAAATCCTATTTACAATTAATTCGCTTGAAAAAAAGAAAAAAACTATTCATTCAAAACACTATTTACAATTCCTGTCGATTTAAAAAACACTTAATTTAGCTTAGAAAAAGTTAACTTAACTAAGAAAAATTTATTCGAATTAAAAACATTTCATTTCAATAGAAAAAAAAAAACTTTTAGCCTCTAAAATTCAAAAGTTTCTTTCAAATGTTTAAATAAAATAAAATAAAATACAGACATTTAAGAAGGCATCTACAGCTGCTGAGTCTAGGGAAGTCCTGCTTGACCCTTCTCTATTTCTAGATCCCTGTCCTTAACATCTAAGTTCCTCCTTCTCGGGGTTCTCGGTCCCTTTAGGCATAGGAGCGCGCTCCGTAGTAGAACTAGTACTAGTATCAATTATCATTTTCAAGACCTTTGTCGTTATCATCACCATTATCATTTTCAAAACTTTATCATTTTCATGGTCATTATCATCATCATTATTTTTATCATCATCATTATTGTTATCATCATCATTAACTTTATCATTATCATTACCATTATCACTGTCATTATCAATATCATTAGCATTATTATTATCATTATCATTACCATTAACTTTATCATTACCATTATCACTGTCATTATCAATATCATTGTCTTTATCTTTATCTTTATCATTATCATTATTACTCTCATTATCATTAACTTTATCATTATCATTATCATTATCATTGTCACTGTCATTATCATTATCATGGCTTTCTTTTTATCTTTATCTTTATCGCTATGTTCGTCAATATCGTTATGTTGGTTATTATTATTTTTCATGAGGAAAAAGAAAAAAAAAACGAAATGAATAGATGAATTGATGGTTGAAAGTAATTAATTCTTGATGTATTTACCTTGTATCTTGAACTGAAGAATGGAACAGACTTTTTTAATTCGGCCTGTAATTTTTCCATCTCAGTTTTTAACCTCTGCATGGCAAAGTTGAAGGATCCTGCTTCTCGAAGCTGGTCTGTGACGTAAGGGGGATCACAGGGGAAGTAACTGTTGAACACAATGGACAATTATTGGATGAGGTGAGTATAACATGAATAAATGTGATACTTTTGGGGTGTGAAACCATTTGTCTGTGAGCACCGGCACGTCTCTTAGTTTTTTGAGATAACTTAACAGCTTTTTGTAATTAGAGACAAGGACGATTACGAGCTGACGAGATTTTCTTAATGCAAAAGAAAGTAGTGAGCGTGCGTGAACCAGCGTCGTTTCTGCGGGAAACGCGGTAGCCGTTTTAATTAGGATGAAAGTTGAATAAAACCATTCAGGGTGTCTATATTTGCTTAAAATACCAGTTTCGGAGAATCCTATACGGCCTGCTTTGTTCCCTCTCCGTTTTGTGCGACCTGTGTACGCAGGCTTTTGGATTAATGACGCAAAGCTTACAAATAAGCCATGCTTCTTGTTTCGACAATTTCAAATAACTATAGGTGTGGCTGAAGTGATTAATTACAAGAAAAAAATTCGTCTGTAAGATAAATAAATTACCCAGTTAAGAAAAATAAATGAAGACAACACGTTATAGCCTGATTATTACTGGCCACATTACATGTGTGCTCCTATACTTTAAATTACCTGTGACGGAATCCGATATGCGAATCGACAGCCTTCGTCAAGAGGTCCCGAAACACTTCCCCATTTTCTCCTTTGGGTCCCAAAAACCAAGCACCAAGGGATGCCCATTGTTTTTGCCTATCGGTCACGTGATCCCCATTTGCAAGAGCCTTTCTTTGCTGCAAGTCCATCGGTACTTTCGACTACTGCGCTCACGATCCTCTTCTCGAAAACAGTTTTCCTTAAAGTCTAAATATCCTTGCAAAGAGAAGAAGACGTCTTTATGTAAACTAATTAGCAAAAAGCTCTTTGTGTCTGAGAAAGAGAACCGTGACGACTTAGATAGAAAACAAAAGTAAATAAAGAAATAATAAACTGTACTTTTGGTCATAACACTGGTAATAATACCTGGGTAAAAATACTAAGAGCAAATCTCTCAGGAATGGGTATTTTTATTGATGCATTAATTTATCATGATTTATATATTTTCTATTTCTCGATTGCTTTGTTCGTTAGTTTTGTATAGATTTTGACTGAATAACAATTTCGTTTCGATGGTTATCGAAAAAGGAATTTTTTTAAAGACCCATCAACTGATATTTTCATAAATTGAAAGTAAAGCATTCGCAAAGGGTTATCTGGTTGCTGAAATAGAAGTTTTTTTTTTTTCAACGACTACAAAGGATTTTTGCCTTCTTCCTTCCTCACCACTTACCCATTCATAGTGATCGAATAAATTATATTCCTCCCTTGTGGGATGCCAATACTAGGACGTTACGGAGTGCAACTAAACTGTATCGGACCCGACATGAAACACTGAACATTCTCAGTCTGTAATTTGCCAAGTAATTCAAGTCAGGCGCGACAATAGGTTTGTCAAAAAATCTTCAAAGTAAAGCTAGGATTCTGATACTTTCTGACCAAACAGTTGACGTTTATTTCAAATTTAATTTAAATTGCAAATACTTATAAAAATTGTTGACAGGGTTGTATGGGTTTAAGTTAAGTCTTGCTTCGCTGAACAGAGCAACAGTAGGAAAAACGTTAATTTACAAGTATGTTTTCTAACGAAAGTTTATGCGTAGATTTAAAAGAAGTTTCTTTTTTATCCCATAACATTTTGATTTCAAGGACACTTGCTTACAGCAGCGTTTAACAATAGTTCTATAAACGCAGTAAATATGGGCTTACGTAATATTAATTTTTTTATTACGGAACAAAAGGCATTATACCACCTTTTATAAACTGCGCAATTCAATCAATATCCTGCAAAGTGCGCAATATCATGTCAAAAGGTTTGAACAATGGATTGCTTTCCGAGAACTATATATCACAACTCGAGTAGTAGATCAAGGCCCACGTGGCTGCACGCCAACGCAGAAATTGACTGAGCCGTCCACGTAACTTTCCTTAGTTACATAAGGGTTTCCATGACGCAACATCTTGTACCTGCATCATGTTTGCTTGAAAAAGACTGTTTGCAAAGCCGCGGCGAATTTTAGAACTTTGTTCAGGCCATAGGCTTGGTTTCATTTATCGTTGAAAACTGTAATTTTTAATGTCTCGAACGGCTTTCATATTTTGCGTGAGGTGGGGTCGTTTTGACAGAAATAACAATACAGTTTAACCGAAGAACGGAAAAGGAAGTTAGGTTTGCGGTATTCTACCGTAGTTAAGGCCAAAAAATCTCTCTGTGAAAGTTTTTGCAGTCGATTTTTTTCCGTTAAGTACAATCGTGGATCCGTTGCTAAATTTTCTGCACTTTTCATCATGCATGAAGGCGATACGATCCTTAAGTTTAGATAATTTTCGGTTGCATGCTTTTCAAATTTTGTATTAAATTTAGTTATTGTCGAGCATTATTGTCGTCGTCTTTCTGAATCATTTCGATGTATCAAAGGTAAAGCGATGGGAAACACAGAATATAATGTTGGGTATTGGTGACTACTATGAGTTATACATCATGTAACTGACAACTTGAAAGGTTGAAAGGTAGCTTGATGATATAATTAACATACATAAGCTTGAAACAAAAAAATGTATTCCTGACAATCCCTCACCTTACAGGCACTTTGGTTTTCCGGACAGTACATTATGAAATCCGTTTTTTTTTTGCCCTTGTTGTTTATTTTTTAATCAAGGTTAGAAATAAACTGGCATTCTAGACCATCTGTGCTCTTAAATGACACCAGAATTAAGTTCACAGACTTTGTAAGAAGTTTAAAGTCATCAACAAAAAAAGGTTATTTTATTTATTTATTTACTTATTTATTTATTCGCAATAAGCAAAAGAAGCATAAGTCAGCTTTGGGTTTTTGGGTACGTAACCCTCGTATTACAAATTTCCCACTTAGTTAGCAAGTGGTCCTCAAAATAAGTATCTGAGATAACAAGATATGCATGCTATACTTTGCAGTTTACTGTATGTTTCACATTAACTTAGAAATTGTGGTATACTGCTGTCAAAATATGAATTGAAAGAAAAATAGCTGTAAGCATTATAAAAATGTACACTCGCCTCTTACCTATTAGGGTTTTCCGAGGACCTTCTGGCTTCAAAGAAGCTTCCTTAACTTTAGCAAAATTAAGTTGTTGGATGAATTTATATGTATGATTGAAGGTATGGTTACTCAGCAGTTAACGTCAGTTTTACTGGGATGCAGTTTTGGATTTCCCGTTCGTAGGGTGGCTACCATGTTCGACCCTCTTCGGATAATTTTTACTTGATATTGAATGTGCTTCTAATTAGAGGAAAGAAGTTCCGGCAACCCAGAATAGAACCCGGTCTTTTTGTGTTCTAAGTCTCTCTACTTTATTGCAGCACTTCCACACCGATCGGCCAAATGTTAGAAACATTTAAATACATATCATAATAAACTATCTCAGAACTGTAAATGTCACAGTTATAATTGGTGATCCTTTGTTCCTTTGCCTAACTCTTAACATAAACTCAATATGGGCTAAAACTTCCTTCTTTCTAGGAATAGTTAAAAATATGGCTTTTGCCTATTAGGCCTTTCTGGCATTCCGCACCAGTGAGTAAACACAATAAAACAAGGTAGACGCTTGAGTGAACAATTTTATTGGTTCCACAATCACTGTATTTTGCCTAGGTAAGTTCACTCGAGGGCGGCTGTATCGACGTCAATATTGTTTTGTTCAATTTGTAAGAAATGCCATATTGCGCGTCTCTATTCGCAAGGGAACTTGCTTAATGACAAAATCAGAGCGTCGTATAAAAAAATATGTCTCACAAGCATTGTAACTTAATCGTTAGAACAACAAACTTTGAAATAACAATTTAAAAAAAACCTATTAGGCTAACAAGTTTTTTTAAAAAAACAGTAAATAATGTAATCTGACCTTTTCAATCTTCTTGAAGTTTGTCCATCCGTTCCTCCTTTCGTATTTGCTGTATTGTCATTATTTTTACCTTCTTTTTATAATCTGAGTAGTTAGTTTTATGTTTCACTTAGTTTGGTTGCGGTTGTGATAAATTTCGTGACGAACATGGCTCCTTTAAATGGGCTGTGTCACGGCAGTCCAGTTCATTTTGTTTAATTTTGCCAATTACTCGCCCTCAATCGCTATGGAACTTAAAGTAAGCAAAGAAATTACATGTAAATGACAAAATCAGAGATCCGAGACAAACAAATATGTCTCCTGAACATTATTTTTGAAGTTGCAAGCAGCAGGGATCTACTTTGAAAACTGCTAGGCTGAACAGTTTTCAAAAACCCTAAATTTTAATCCGTTTCCATCTTCTTCAGTTTTGCCCATTCGTGGCATCTGTTGTTTTTGTTATGTTATTTTAGCCTTCCTTTAAAGTTTTAAGCGGCTATCTTTATGTTTCTCTTAACTTTAACGGGCATTTTGTAATTTCCTAACTTGGCTGAATTTTGTGACACAGCTCCTTAAATGAGGGACGGTCTTAATTATGCAAAATACGGTGGAACCGCGGTAACTTGAACTCTGAAGGGAAACGTAAAACAGTTCAAGTTAGCGAGGGTTCGAGTAATCCGGGTCGATCGCAAAATTCAATTTGCAATGTTAAAAATTGATAGTTACTGATTTTTCAGCACTTCAGTGTATGGTGCAATGCAAATTTAACTTATTTCATTAGAAACGGGAACATTACTAGGCATAATAATGATAAAACTTGATCTGTACGTTTCACCAATTAAAAGCCCGGGTTAAAAGCAAATTACTTTAGTGTTGAACAGTGCTAGTTTAGTGATTTTACCTTTTTACAACACGAAGAGGTCAAGGAGAGTTATCGGGGTAAATTAACAGCGACTTTTTGATCAAGGGAAAGGAAATTTAGTTCGAGTTAGCGGGAAATTCGAGTTATCCGAGATCGAGTTAACTGAGTAAAAATGACTGGTCAGGGAGTGAATTCAAAGTGAAATTGGACTTAGTTCGAGTTAGCGGAGAGTTCGAATTATCGGGGTTCTTAGTAAATAAATAGATAAATAAATAAATAATTCCAGAGATTATCGGTTACCATTAGTGGTACTGGTCCGTTGAAAATGGCAACGACCTATTACGAAAGGGAAATAGGCGGCGCCTTTCCCCTAGCGTTCTTCACAGAATGTATGTAGATTACTTTCTGAATGTGACGGACATGTAATAGAGCGTGTAAATGAAATTTGACTCTGTCAAGGCGATTCTTGTTACCCAGGGAACTGACAAAAACAGCAATCTTACTGCGAAATTGAAGTGGATACGCCATCCTAGAACCGACAGCCTTATTTTTTTATTTATTTATTTATTTATTTATTTATTTATTCTGGTTAGTAATGGATAGATACGCGATTCTCGAAAGCTTTTGATTTCGGACTTCCTACTTACAATTTTGGACTTCGGACTTCGGACTTCGCATTCCCAACCATATCCGACTTCTATAAATTTTATATGTGGATCTTTAGAGCCGTGGGTTTGAAGTCGTGTCGCCTTCATATATTGATGAACTTACCCCCACCGGAAAGGTCGCTGTTATTATAGTTGGCTTATATTTTACTTTGCACAACTCAATGCAATGTACCATACAATTTCAGTAGCAAAGAGCGCGATGAGAATTTGTAAATTGCGCAATATCTTAACATCATCTTAGAGGGCATTAGTTGCAAAACGTATGTAAACGCTTGAGCTGGTCACGTGCTAGTTCACGAGCATCTAATTTTACTTAAAG